AAATGTGAAGAAACATGCAGCACGTCAAAAACAAAACTTAAACCGAAACTGGTTCTGGTTCGGTGGATTGGACCCGGTGTTACACCGTACTCTGTGACCTGCAACAGTGCAACACCGCCCCCTACGGTCATACGGTGGTCACAGAATATGACGTCACTACGGATACTCGACATTACATTTTTAACCTCGATAGATGTCCTAGCAATCGATGTGTAGATTACTCTGTTAATGCCCTAGTCTCAACGCCCATCGGTTCCGCCCCACACCGCACCAGTTAAGGGCCCTCCCACTGCCGGTACCACCCCACTCAGCCCAGTTCATGGGACCACCTTGTTTGTGGTTCCGAGCGAGCTGCTCTGAGGACCTGATTTTGACGTAAGCAGACAGCAGCCATTGATTAGTCAGCAGAGCTACGTCACTAGATGACCTCCAAACTACATCAGAACCTTCACTTGTCGTGTTGACGGACGGTGCCACAAGAAATGAGCGCATTCACTGAGAGGTACCAGAGATGATTGCAGAATGGCTACACCCGGACTTATAAACAGCGCCAAGATAAGCTAAAGAAACTGAAGTCCTGCTATAGGATGATTAAGGACCATATAACAGGTGAAGTGGCTCCAACACAATGACCTGTTATGACTCCGCCCACAGAGCGTAGAACAGGTCACAGTGACAAATCACCTCCACCTGAGAAGAACCGATAAGATGAGAGCAGAGTGGAGTCGCACTCATCCATGGAAGAGGCTTTACAGTCCTCCACATTTTAACTAGTTGTAGCGCCACCTATTGGTTGAAGTTAGTAACCGTTTAGTATTACGGTACGTAGCAGTTGTTTTTTCTTTGGACAAACTTCTCAAAATGGTTCACAGTTTAGGCTCCATGACTGATTTTGTAAAACATTTTCTTTGATATGCTATAGGCCACGCCCATTGCACTTAAAAACAATTAAACTTTTTGTTTTTTTAAGTTCAAGGGAAGGTACAAAAAGTTTTTGCTCGATTCATAACGATCTAATTAGCCAATTAAGAGAAACAGTTTTAATCTGTTTATAACATCCTGTAAAGGACAGCGTTCGTCACTCTAGTCCACTTTCTCAGACTTGAGTCCAGTAACAATATGAACAGGTATCTAGTTTAAAGGTCTGGCTAAGCATTTAAAAACAGTTAGCCTAGGCATATTAATTGAACAATTTAAAATACAAATACCCGTCGTTGAAAACTTCTAGTCTGAGGTGTCTAGATTTTAGATGGTGAGTTTAACTGTGATCTAACTTGAAAACAACAACAACAAAAAAACCTTTCAGACATTTAAGTGTAGATTTTTTTTATTTATTTTGTGCTATAAAAAAATTGTAAGGTGGAAATGGGCGTGGCCTATTCCATGTCACTCAAAGTCTAGCAAATATGGTGATATAAGCCATTAATTTTAGCAACTAGCGGTTTATAAGTTATGTGAACAAATGCAAAATCTACAATTATAGCGCCCCCTATAGGTGGACCTGTGTGAACATTTTTCTTCGCTGGCCATAGTTACTACGATGCATCATCCCAATGCTCATTGCGGTTTGGGTCACAGCGTGACTCATTGGCGGAATAAAAATAAAAATCATGAAAATAAAGAGCACAGATACAATAGGGTTCCATGCTGGAACCCTAAATGTTCTGGACCCCCCAATAAAAAGTTTGTGTTTTTGTCAAAGACACTTTTTGCACCGATGAATTTTAATTGTCTGATAAATGAAACGGCTCGCTCCTGAGGTGACCTTTGACCTCCCCGTGAGGATAACGAGCAGAGAGGCGGTTTCCTCAACAATCAATTAAGCATCAGCTGAACATCCTGGGGGGGGGGGGGCGCTCATCATTTGTGACATCCATCATGTTGTCAGAGGAGGGAGGGGTCCATTCCTCCATCAGTCTCTCTATTGATTTATGTTTAGACGGTTTAGGTTTAATTAATTTTTTCTATTTTTTTAAACCCTTTTCTGTTTTGGTAAATTTTTACTGTCTTTGTTTGTGTGCAAGTTCTGTTCACCTGATGAAGGTGAGCCCGTTTGTCTTTTTTGTGTTTTTAAATTGCTCCTCAGGTTTTATATTCCTTGTCCCCCCACAGCTTTAAGACCCGAACAAAACCTTCAAACCAAGCGGCTCCATCAGGAGCAGGGAGTTTTGGTAGCAGCACATCATACGGCGTCGTGAATATTTACAGACACTAAGACAACAACAAAAAAAGTCCCCATAGAAAACAGAATTTACTGTAGTTTTTTTTTTTTTTAAGTGATAAAACGTGGTCCTGTTTGGATCAGCAGAACCATCATTCAGAGTTTAAACAGGTGACAGAACGCTGGACTGAACGGTTTTTACACCTCAATGATTTTAACAACAACAGAGAATTCCTGTAGATCTTAAACACAAAATGTTCAACTTAGAGCGGGCACACAGTTTTTACTTCCTTCTGATACGGCTGATACATCCAGCTGAAGGGACATTTGTCTCGACCTGGTCTCTCTGCTGTAGGACCAACAGTTTTCTCTTCAGTTCCTCCAGACCTCGGAGGTCACACACCCTACAACGCCCACTGACCTCCACTGCTTCTGAGCTCAGAGTTTTCTCTTTAAAACCAGAAGTCTCTCTTTAAGTCGTCACATCTAAAGAAATCATTGTAGAAACAGCAAATTCACAGTGATTGTTTGAGGCTTACTTTCTACTCTGCGTTTCAGTCTGTCTTGTTAGGAGTGAAATCAGGGAGTGAGACTCAGGCGTGTGGTTACCAAGGTGACCTTAATCAGCTAATCTTTTTTTTTTTTGGCTATTCTCTACAGTTCATCTATCAAAACGTCGGCCATGTTGTCAGCTTAAATGATTACAGAATAAAACCCCAAATCATTATCAAGCTTTATTCAGCTAAAACCGTGGATTTCCACCTCCTTATTTGCTTTTAACTAAAAAAATTAACTCAGCCAACTTCATTTTTTATTACCACCAGCACCTTTAGCTGACTGCACCGAGCTGAACGAGCCGAACCACATTTTCATAAAAGCAGGTTTTTAAAAATAAATGAATAAATGTTTTAAATTACTGAAAATAACCTGGAAATAAAAAAAACACAAGGATTCAAACTTTCGAGAGTCTGAGACTGAACAACAAGCTACGAAAAAAAATCACCGCTGAGTGCTTAATGACAGCTGAAATTTACTAAATAATAGCTGAAAGCTAGAAGAGAAGAATGCAAACTGAAAGCTAAAATGAGCAAAACACAAACTCAAAATTAAATTCTAAATGAAAGCCCAAAACAGGAAATAAATATTAGATTAGCAAACAAGCTAAAAGCAGCAAAAGTTTAGCTAAGTTGGAATGCAAAAGCTAAAAGTAGAGGAGCAGTAGCTAAAAGCTAAAAAGTAGCATAAGAGTCAGAACCAGTAGCTGAAGCTGATGTCAAAGAGAACCAAGTTTTTGAAGGAATAAAAAACTGTAAAAAGCATGTTTGATAAGTAGAAAACAATAGCTAAAAGCTAGAATTTATAGACGGCAAAAAGCTAAAACTAACAAAACTGTAGTTGAAATCTAAAATCATCAAATCATTAGCTAAAAGCAGTGAGTAAAATGCCATGTAAAATATTAAACACTAGATAAATGCTGAAAGTAAACTGCCAGCTAAAACAGCTAAATGTTAGCTAAGAGCTTAAAGTAGCATAAGACACAAATAGAACCAGTTTGCTGAACAATGTTTTTGAAATTATTGGAGATCTGTGTATTTTTATGGGGAAGATTGTAAATAAAGTTACATATTTTCTAAAGTATAAAAGTAAAAAAACAACTAAAGTCATAGCAAACAGCTGAATGAGGTGACAGTTTACTGTAGATGTAGGAACAGCTAAAAGACTTAATGATTTAATGACAGCTGAACCTTAAAGCTTCAGAGTGGTACCCGAGGCCCACATCAGCTGAAGGACTTTAAAACTGGGCCGTAAAGAAAAAAAAACGTTTCTCCAAACACAAACAGACAAAACTGTCAGGTTTTCTTGGTGCAGCAGCAGAAAACCCATTAGATGGTTCTGAAAGGCTCCTGGTCAATTTGTCCTCTAAATGGATTCTGTGAGGAGACGAGAGGCGAAGAGACAAATCCTGGCAGACGAGCTGCATCTCTATCCGTCCCACAGCAGCCGAAGGCTAACGGAGCACCTGTCCTCCTGTCGCAGGTGATCATTTCAGGTGACCGGAGTGAAAACAGCTGCAGAGGAGAAAACACCTCCTCTGTTGGATCAACAATCTGCTCTCCGAGCTAAAGATTATCCGATAGTCTGGAGAACTGAAGCTGACGGAACCGACCAGCAGAACCTGAACTCCAGATCAGCTATAACATACTGGTTGTTTAGTTTTCTGCAAACTGTCGTTTTAAACGAGGGTAAAGAAAATATATGGATCAAAACTCATTCAGGAGGAGTGCTACGACTTTTAGCTTATGTAACTTTTATACTTGTCAAAACGTTTAAGTTTATTAACAAATAAAATTCACCATTAAAGCCTCTTCTGTTCCTTCAAAAACATTGTTCTTCAAATCTTAAGATACATGCTCTGCTTTTGTTTTCTTTAATTTAGTTCTGCCCCATTTAGCTGTTAGATAGCGCTATGCCGTTTTTAGCAACTTTTAGCTACTGCTCAGCTACTTGTAAATAAGCTCATATAGGTCAGAGGTCACACACAAACTCCCTGCAACTCTCGCCTATCTGAGCTCACTTGTATCTAAAACCGCAAGGACGTAAAAACTTGTGTTTGACGACCAGAACCTGATTTAACTTTTATTTTGACCCACTTCCTGTTTGAAGTTTATTTTCCGCTCAGCTTCAGTCTGCCTGTCTTATTAAGAGTGCTGTCAGCCACTCACCCAATAAAATTAAAGAAACACTTTCCTCTCATTTTCAAACATCTGCTTGTTCTAAACTCTTGCTGCAGCACAGGAACAATCTTCAACAGCTGAAGACCTAAAGAACAACTGCTTACCTTTTACCCAGAGTGCTAAGCGGCGTGCTGAGGTTCAGCAGAGCCAGAGCCGGGTTCCGGTTGCGTCCGGTCGTCTTGACGGCAGCTGGCTCCTTCCTCGGGGTTTGGGGCGCTGGGCTGCTGCCGGGCTTGGTGTCGAGGTCCTTCAGCACGTCGTAGTTGATCTTGGAGGAGATCTTCTTTTGCTCCAGCATCTTCCCAATGGCTTCATCGGCGGAGCTGGCTCTGATCGGGAGGCGTCGCTTTGAAGGTCGCTTCGGCTGATTCAGACAAAAAACAAACGTCACTCTCATTTTTTACAAAACACAAACTGTTCCTGTGGAGAAACAAATTCATGTTCATTCAACCGAAAAACATCTGGCCATCCTCAGATCTGACTTCAATGTTTTAATGAAACTCAGAAATCATCGCATGATTAGCCGAGTAACTTTAAGAATTCAAGATGGCCGCCCTGCCCTGCTACACTTCTGCCACTTTTAGTTAAAAAAAAACAACATTTCATGTAAAATAACTATAAATATCCCCCTCGTTTAGAGTGACTTTAGAGGATTATTGAAACCATTCAACCATTGAATCATGCATGTTGATGCAGGGAAACAGTTAAAACCTGCAGGATGGTTGCCCTCAAGGACCTAGACTGGACAACCCGAGACTACAGTCTCTAAATCTAAAACTCTGGTGAAGATTTGTTTTCTTCATTACCGTCTTTCTCTTTGCCACTCTCCCATAAAGCTCAGACCAGTGAAGAACTCTGGCAACAGTTGTTGTATGCTCAGTCTCCTATTTCATCTGCTGGAGCTTGTAGCTCCTTCAGGAGTGGTCTCAGGAGTCTCTCTATTCTCCTTCACGATCTCTCACTTTGTGAGGATGGTCTGCTCTCTGTAGATTTACACATGTTCCATGTTCCTTCCATGTCTTGATTGTGGACTTAAGAGAACTCCTGAGAGAAACCCACCACGACTTGTACTTCATCTTTTCTCCGATTTGACTTCTGAGTCACTTCAGAGGGGTGAAAACTTTGATGCTCCATAAAAATTGTTGTTTCATCAAAACTTTTTTAAACAAGATTTACCCGTTTTTCTTTGTAGATCCCAAGCGCCTTCTCTTCAGCTATTTTAGCTTCTTTTTCTGAAAACGAGAAACAAAACGAGAATATAAACATTTCAACGTCAAAAAATAAAAACAAACAGTCACAGCCAGAGCACTGATACTTTGGTTTAAACCAGCTGATGCAGCTAAACCAGAGGTACATTCATCCGAAAGCACACGATGCAGATGAATCAGACATAAAATCAGCTAAAAGTAGCCGATGAGATGAACCAGAGGTAAAATCAGCCAAAAGCAGCCGATGCAGGTGATCCAGAGGTACAATCAGCCAAAACACATCGTGGGCTACTCACGTTTCTGCTCTTTGAGGTAGTCGGCGTTTTCAGCCATCCAGAAAGCCGTCTTGACTTTAATTTCATTGTCGCTCAGCAGATACTGCAGAGAGGCAGAGTCCAGTTAAGGTAGAAGGTACCAGATACGACCCGACCCACAGAACCCGTCTAGATCCAATCAGGTTAATTCTGCCTCTGTTTGAGGAGTTTCAGCTTAAAGTTCTGGTTAAATCCAAAAAGGTTTTGTTTTAAGAACGAGGACAAGAAATAAAATGTCTTAAAGAAAACAGCCTCAGTTTTCAAAAACTGAACCAAACTGTTGCCAGAAACATCATAATTTAATAAACCATAGTGTTGGTTCAAACGTTTTCTATCTGGCAACCCAAAATTTCTGTAATTCCACATTTTCCATTTATTTAAACTATTTCTTGTGTATTTTTAAAGGTAATTTACTTATTTTGTTTATTAAACGACTTGATTTTGTAAGTTTCCTTTTTCTTTACATGACCATAATGTAATTTTTATAAGTTTAATTAATTCTTATTGTGTATTTAAAGATTGTTTCAAGTGGATGATAAATATCAGTGTGACATGAAATCATAATCGACTGATCAAAATGTTTTAATTTCCGTTTTCCAGACCTGTGGGCCTACATGACCTTTGACCTGCTGACTGAGGTCAGTAGAGTGAGATGGAGCTCATTGCATGGTCTGACCTTCAGGGTGAATCTGCTGTGGACATTGTCAGCTGTCTGAAATGTTTTCCACTTGTTAATAATCTTTCTGTAGAACGATGGATGACCTTTGACCCTTTCCAGATCGATAGGCAGCAGCAGCTGCTTCTCTGAGGTCATTGCTGATGTCTTTCCAACCTGGCGTGTTTACACACGCGTTTGCTCCAGATCAGACCTGAACAACACGGCTGCACCTGATGATCAGAACCAACAGGGCAAATTTCTGCCACGCAGCAACGGCTCAAACATTTTATTGTTTATCTGAGTTTGAATTTTGTTTTAGCACGACTGTTCAGAATCAGATGAAGCCACAACATAAAAACACACGAGACAAAGTTTTACTTTTTTTCCCCAGATTTTTGAAGAACTTCCTGTTCTTTGTGTAAACTGTAGTTTCTCTGCGTTGGTTCGGTCCAGATCGGACCTCGCTGAACTTCAGGTACGCACCTCATCGATCTCTGCGTCGTCGATCCCACTCAGGTCCAGCTCCCCGCCGTCAGTGGCACCATCTGTCACAGAGACAACCAGAACCGACCCGTTTATCAGAATCATACAGCGACCCATCGACCCACTAACTCAACAGAACATTCGCTAGTCTTGTACTTTTAGTTTCTAGCTAGACTTTTGATATTTTTAGCTTTTATTGAGCATTTTGCTGCTTTAGCTTTTACTTAGCCTATTGGTGCTTTTAGATTTCGGCTAGCTTCTTGCCACTTTAACAAGCCTTTTGGAAGTTTTAGCTTTTAGCTAGGCTTTTGCTAATTTTGCTTCTAGCTGCCTTTGAAATTTTTACCAAGGTTTATGCAAATTTTAGTTTTAATGAAAGTTTTGCTACATTATCTGTTAGCTAGCATTTTATTTTTAGCTTTCATTCTGCTACTTTTAGCTAATCTTACTACTTACTATACTTTTTTAGCTAGTTATTTGCTACTTTTGGCTTTTAACTAGCTTTTGCTACTTCACATTTTTGCTCATTTTAGCTTTTAGACTTTTTTTTGTTGCTACTTTTTGTTTTTAGCTAGTAGATACTTTTAGTATACTTTTTTTAGCTTTAGATACTTTTGCCTTTTATTAAGACCCAACAAAGTTCAATCAGGTCATCTGGACTGTTTCATTTTTTGTCGAGACTTTTTGTCCTTCATCCAAAAGGACTTTCGAGGAGCAACAACAAACTTGGTCCCACAAGCAGCACACTCACACAGTGGACCAACCAGTTTGCTGGTGATAAGATGGTTTCTGGGGCCCGCCCTCTCCCCCGTCGACTCCTCTGAAGCAGCCAAAGCCAAAGTGGTTCAAAACACCAAAGTTCATGCTCAGTAATCCAGGTAAAAAAATCCAGCAATGTTCAGTCAAGTCATCTGGCCATTTTATTTTTGTTGAGACATTTTGTCCTTCATCCAAAGGACTTCATCTGTCCAACCTTTTATTAAGAATTTTGCTGCTTTAGCTTCTAGTTAGCCTTTTGCCATCTTTAGCATTAACCTCATTTTCCAAGTTTTAGCTTTTCACTTCTTTAAGCTTTTTGTCTTTGACATTTTGACCCTGAAGATCAAACCTCCAGACTGAGCAGTGTCTTCAGTCCCACGACCTGAGTCTTCATCATGGAGAGACAGGCGACATGTGAGGGACACACCCGTCCTCAGATGAATGGGGGGGGGGGGGGGGGGGGGGG